TCCATCTGTCCATCTATTCATCCATCCATCCAGCCTTTGATAAATATCAACCAGACATCTATGATGCACCAGGTATGAGCAGGCTCTGGGAATAGAATGTGGTATAGAACAACCTTGGGAGGACTGATAGGAGTATTGCTTGTCAAATACATTTAAAGTAATCATGTCATTTTGGTCCTAACCCCAATATGGCTCTATCTATTTGGTCATCCTTTTGATTTTCTCTTTTCAGCTTTCAGGGCCATGATTCATTCATTATTAGAATGCATTGAAAAGAAAAGCCCAACAATTACTCTGCATATGTAGTTATTTATGTGCTTGATATGTGAAAGGAAAATATAGAATCTGGTTTGCTGTATGGCTAAATTTGTGACTGGTCCTCATATATTGTTAGTGAAAAGTTCTTTCAAATTTGAGAATAAATCATAAATATTTGGTCCAAACAATTGGAAGCCCATAAATGAACCACTCTGCTCCAGTTTTTTGAGGCTTTTCTAGAAAACAAAATCTATCACATGTTTAAGGGTCCACTACAGCTGCCTGAGTATTTGGGGAGGCAGGGAAACATCCCTCATGTCTGCTGCACAGGGAAAGCAGATTGAGAACCTCTGGTGCTGACAGCATCGTAGGTGCTCCCTGCAGGATCTGGACAAAAGCACTGGCTGAGGAAAGGGGCCTGCTGAAAAAACTAATGCAGCTTTCCAGCCACGAGACCACTTTGTCCTCTCTTTGGCAGCTTGAGCGAGTCGTTTTGCAAGGAAGAGCTCAGGAAACCATCATGGACTTGATTGTTGGCTTGGGGTTTCTGTGAGCTGAGTTTTCAGTCACACTTTGTGACTGACACATGTAGAGAGCTGCATAGGTACCAAGTAGTCCTCCATGATTTGAAGACACTGACACAAGCTGCAGACGAAACAGGTGGGTGGTTTCTAGGGCTGGTTCTGTGATTTCCCAGTCAGATTGACCCTGGCATGTCTCTTCCTCCTCCAAACATGACATTCTTCTAATACTAAGTATGAGAGGGTCCCATCTATCCTGCTTCGCTCAGCCAATTATTGTGAAGATGGTTATTGTGCAAGTGCTCCATGTGGCTACAAGTGCTATGTAAGTGTCTGCTACTGTCATGGGTAAGCGGTGACGATTAGTCCTTGGAGCTCTTCATATTGTGTAGATTCTCTGAATGGACGTTTCTCTCCAGACAAAGTTGCTCCCTTTCCCCTAAATGTCCTTTTGATTTAGAAACGTTCAGTTCTAACTGAACTCTCGGAGCCTGCCAAGCTGCCTAGTGCCAACAGGGTAGTGATTTCCTTTGTGACTGGGAGCCCATTGACGCCCATGTGTGAGCAAACACTCTTAGTCTCTCTTATCTGAGTTCAACATAGAGTCTCTTGCTTCACAAGGAGCCCACCCAAGTCAGGAGCCAGGTGCTCTTTTATTCCCAGGTGTCGACATAAAGAGCTTTGTGGCAGGGCAGATTCAGGATCACTCAGGGCTGGGACTGGGGCAAGGTGTTCAAAGTTTGTCTCTGGCCTCTGTAAATTTCCTTTAGGAGTTCTATCCTACTCTTCTGCATCCCACTCCACAGAGCTGGTGATAAGGGTCTGTGTTTCCTTCCCAGAACTCCCCATTGAGAGGACTAGCCTTAGTCTGATAGGACTTATGATGAAGCAAATGTTCTAGATCTGCTCTGTCCAGTAGGGCAGCTACTAGCCATAGTTGAAATGGAGCCAATGGGACTGAGGAAATGAATTTGTATTAATATTTAATTTTAATTAATTTACATTTAAATTGTCATATGTGGCTAGTAGCTGCTATATGATAGTGCAGTTCTAGGGCTCAATATCCTGATCATTTCAGTCTCTCCACAGCAACCAAATTAACCTGTCTTGTGTCCCAGCCTAAGATCCTATTCCTAGCAAAACACCAGCAATCTCATTAACAAATTGCTGCCCATAATTAAGGTCTTAACCTTCTTAGGGAGTGTGCAGGTTTTGAGCAATAGCATCCTTTGGTCTAAGCAGATGCACAAATGGTAGGAATTTGGGTGACTCTAGTAGGTAAATGTGGGTGGAAAGATTAGGGGCATAGAGCCTCAGGTGTACCTCAAAGCACATCCTGTGCGTGGGCACAATCAGTGCCCTGAGCTGCTTCTCAGTTCTTCTTGGCCTCTTGCTGTATGGGGAGAGTTAAAATCAGAAGTGTGTGGATGGGAGCCCAGGCAAGGGCTGGAAGTAGGAGGCTGGAATGGGAAGAGCCCAAAGGATGCCAGAGTGCTTGCAAAAGAATCTAGCATGCTAGGCAGTGTGGTGTTTTGTTCCACCCTGGGTTGGAGGTGCCACGGGGTGACTGTTACCGAGTGATCATTACCATCAGCGCAGGCTTGGAAAGTTAATAGTTAAATCAAAGGGATCAGAAATCAGTTTAAAGGTCACACAATGAACTCTAACACTTTTGATTCAGTCTTGAAGAGGAGCTGTCATTCTAATCCTAATTCTAACACCATCCTCCTCTCATTTAGGGAGTTTTTCCTCCTGAATTTTTTTATGCATGTTGCTCTCTGGAAGTTCTTTTCATCCTGAAACTGAGCTGTGTTTCTGTTTCTCTTGGAAGACCATGGAACTGCTTTCAAGTCCCTGCCAGTGTTTTCACAGATACACACTGGCATCAGATGCATCTTTGCAAAACCAAACACCAAGGGGGTGAGGGGGATGGATGTCATGGAACAAGATCAAGTAGGGGAATGAAAGGCCCATGAGGTACACTTGGAGAGGAACAGGAAAAGCACTTACCAACCTCAGCACTTTGAGAATCACTCCCAGGGCGTTTGTTTGCCAATTGCTTCCACAGGTAGATCCACTACCATCACCTCCTCATCTACTCTGTACTATTTATGGAATGGGGACAGGATTTCTTGTGAAGTAACCACCCAGAAGGGACAACTGTTGGACTGAGAAAGTATCAAATTTTTATAAAATAAATTGGAGGCTAACTCTCAAATCTTTCATGCAAACATGTGGTCCATCCTTAAACATGAGGGGTCTTCAAAAAGTTCAGGAAAAAACGTGGATTACGAAAAACTGCATGGATTTCATTTTGCACCAAAAGAAATATATCTTTTCATTCTATTTTTCCATGAATTTCTGAAGTGCCCTCATATATAAAAATTACAAAGAACAACTGAGTGTTGTTGATGCTTTGCCGCACAGCTCAGGCTGCAGAGTACCACCTGGGCCCCTCACTCCCTGCAGTGAAAGACGATGCCCAGTACTCAGCATGACTCTTGCCTTTCCTCCAAGTAAGTGTCATGGCATCCAAGGACAGAATTCCAGAAATGAGAACGAACTTCACAGAGGTCTGGCTGGGTTGATTCACCAGCAATGACGTTACCAGATGTTCCCAGGCAGGGCAACTGTGCCATGGGATCCTCCTGTTCCCAAAGCATTCTGGTGACTTACTTTATCCCTTCTGTAAGTGGTTCTTAATATTTAGTCTGAACCCAATAAATTTGAGTCTATCTGAATGAAAAAAACTTTTCTATTAAGCTAGCTTAGAGCAGGCCCCACCTGGCTATATTTGGCACCTCTAGAGGAATTATTTTATTGCCACTGCTGGGGAGGAGAATGTGCAATTTTGTTCTCCTTGGAGCTTTGGGCAATGTCTGAAGACATTGTTGGTTGTTTAGCTTGGGTGAGGTTGGTGTTCTACTGGTGGGGAGAGACCAGGGATATGGCAAAGGATCCTACAGAGGGGCTGGCATTGTAGTGCTGCAGCGTAAGCTGCTGCTTGTGACACTGGCAGCTCATATTGGAGTGCTGGGGAATGGGTTAGAGTCCTGGCTGTTCCACTTCCTATCCAGCTTCCTGTTAATGTGCGTGGGAAAGCAGTGGAAGAAGGCCCGAGTGCTTAGGTCCCTGCCAACCATGTGGGAGACCTGGATGGAGTTCCTGGCTCCTGGCTCAGTCCTGGCTCAGTCCTGGATGTTGCTGCCATTTGGGGAGTGAACCAGTGAATGGGAGATACCTTCCTCTGTCTTCCCCCTCTCTATCTCTTTGCCTCTCACATAAATAAATCTTAAAAGGGGGATAATTTAGAGCATAGGACAGCCCCCAGGACAAAGAACCATCTGGTCTGGAATGACAACAGGATTATTTGAGAAACCCTAGTACAGAGGGAAAGTTCAAGGTTCTATTCTTGATGAACAAGTGACTCTCAAAGGACTATTACACTTTCAGTGTTGGAAAACTATTAACACCTTGAGGTGGCCCAGGAAACCTCAGTAAAATTTTGTCTAGAATTTTCACAACCAGTAACCTAGTCCATTTCTAACCTCATGGGTTCTTAACTTCCTCTGAAAGAGTACAGCCTCAGGTTTACTATATATGGCAAGCTCTTCTCATGGTGCCCAGATCCCATCTGCCTGTAGTGCTTGGATATACAGAGGCAAGCCATGGGGTTCAGTTTCTCCATCTGTAAAATGGGGTAATAACACTTCATGGCCTGCTTGCCAGTCAGCCCTGGTATCCTAGGGTTTCATCACAGCTGGAGGATGAGCCCCGGAGGGAGGAGACACGCAGCAGTTGTGATGTCAAGGGGCTGGAAGAGGGCCCAGAATGTTGACACAGAATTTGTGTAGAACTGTTTGGGAAAATCATGCAAACCACAATGTTTTTCTTTCTGATTATAAAAGTAACTGAGTCATTGTTGGAAATCTCTCAAGTACAGAAAATTGTAAGGAGAAAATAAAAGTCTCTCATAATTGCACTACTAGGAGATATCAACTATTCATAGCTTTGCTATTTTCTCTGAGCAAAACAAAAGAGGATGCGCATCAGGTGCTCTGAGGCCTTTGAGGACAGCAGCATGTGACAGTGTGGATGTTGATTGGTTTGAGACAACTTTCTCTGTGCACCAAGACAGTTGAGTCCCTGCCCTGCCTGGATGTCATGGGTAGTAGGGCAGATGGTGATGGGACAGAAGGGCATGGGATCCAGTCCCCTTACCTTCAGGGTTCATGTGCAAAGCATACTTTGTGTTTTCCTCCATGAATAGGAGTAGAGTTCTGTAGCTGAAAGAGGAAATGACTCATTTTAGCTCTAAGATAATAGAACAGGAGATGCCATTATTGGCTCATTTTGTGGTTTTTAGCATGGTTAAAGTCACCATTATTTCAATAATAGGCATAAGACAGTTCTAGTTTCTTTGGGAATTAGTTTTTGATAATTTTATTATGAAGAAATGTTAGAATTACATAAAAGTTGTGAAAATTGTAAAAAAAAGTGCCATGTACTTTTCACCCAGATACCCTAAAATGTTAATGTTTCATCATGTTCGATTAGTCATCCTCTACCTTCTCTGTGAACAAAAACTTTTTAAAAAATTATTTGAAAAGAAGTCACAGTCATGATGTTTCTCTACCCCTAAATATTTCAGTGTGCTTTCATAAGAGCATGGACATGCTCTTACAAAACCACAGTGCAAAGATTAAAATCACAAAATTCACAATGATTCCATAGCATTATCTAACCTATAGCTCTTGCTCAAATTATGCCCATCAACCTAGTTGGGATTGGATATTTTGAAACTTGGACCTGAGGGCATTGAATGGAATTTATTGACAAATTCTAACAATAAATTACAACTGAATTGGGAATTTGGCAAGCCCAGCTTGTGGTTCCAGTTCAATTCTGTCTCATTGGCTCAAGTGAGCATTGGCAAGAGAATGCTTTTCAAAGTGTGAAAAGAAGGGGTTATTCCCTGGGCTACTGGGTCCAGGTTTATATTAGTTGGGTTGTGCCCATCAGGGTTCATGGTTCTCCCCATGCTCCCATCAGAGCAAGTTTTGTCTAAGAACCTTTTACATTCTGGGCACTAAATGACCCTGATCCATGACCATGAGTGGATAATTGCTGGAAATGTGGATCTGAGTTAGAAAAAAAAAAAAGATGACTTCAGGACCTGAATACAAAACAGGCCCCTTATTCCTCTGCACCTACTCTGAAAAACTGACTTTGCTATATGGACAGAAATTCCTAGCTGAATGCCCAATTTTGTTTTGTGCATTCCGCATAAAAGCAAATGGAATAGCGGATCAAAACAAGGCTGTCAAATCATTACTAAGTCTGTAAAATCCAGACTCCTAAGAATTATCCCTTGAGGATGCCAGTGTTGAATATTCTCCCAGCTGACTCAGTGTCGGAGGAGTAAGTGACTGGCAGGCAGCTGTAGACTTCCACCAGTGGTTTTGTACCACTGAGAATTTCTCAATGTCGCTGCTATTGGCATAATGAATTAAGAGCCCAGACGTCTTTGCAACCATAGCCTTGGATATGATGAGGACTATTCAAGCATTAAGAAGCAGCCCCAAGACATTTGGTAATGAGATATCTGCTGAATCCAGAGCTGTGACACACATGTCTGGGGCAGGCTTCTTAGAAGCCACCAATCTTTCTCCATAAGGTATAGTGATACTGAAGTTTTCATTAAAAAATAAAAAAAGAGTGAGAATATTCTAGAATGCATTTTAGATTCTGGGAATTATTTCAGGATGTAAAGTTCTCTCTTTGATAATGTCTCAGCTCTGTTCAGAACAACTCTTCCACTCTGTTCCCGGCCAAATAAAACCCCATTTTGTTTTATACACTTCATGGGAACCCTGAGGCGCTAGCAGAGGCTAGGGAGGAGCAGGGGAGTGGGGCATGGGTGGGGGTTGCACTGGGAGTGGAAAGTGTAGAACATCAAACAACAGTGGGAGAGCTTTGGCGCAGGAGAGCATAAAACAGATCAAGGTTCCTGTAACTCAACATTTGTTGCATGCCAGGCCTTGGGCACGCTGACTATCCTTACTCATTCAGGCTTTGCTGAGGACCTGGCACCCAGTTTGGCCCTGGCTATTCCCCACATCAGCTCCTTTACATACTCTTCACCTGCTCTGTGCCCTGTGGGTCTGGTTCCTATAGTCCCTTTGTCTTCCAACTTTAAATGGCTTTCCCCTACCATGGTGAGTAGAGGATAAGAGACAGGATGTCAGGATGTCTCTGTCTTTCCATTTCTGGTTTCTACCTAGCTCAGTTCTAGCAGTGGTTGTGTCTCTTCTACCACAACTCCAGCTGGGCAGAATCCCAGAAAAATTCTTCTCCTCTCAACTGGTTTTTATGCAGAGTAGGCTGAGAAAAATTCCTTTGTTCTTTCAACTCTAACCACATGTATGTAGTCTCTTTACTACTCTCTCCTAAAAACTTTCTTAAAAATGCTACCTGTTTCCTGTCTGACCCTGACTGAGACAGATAGACCTGGAATATATGTTGAATTATGTTCCGTTATTTTGGGCAAGTCAGACAGATATAATGATTTTTTTTTTGACAGGCAGAGTGGACAGTGAGAGAGAGAGAGAGACAGAGAGAAAGGTTTTCCTTTTTCTGTTGGTTCACCCCCCCAAATGGCCGCCATAGCTAGCGTGCTGCGCCAATCCGAAGCCAGGAGCCAGGTGCCTCCTCCTGGTCTCCCATGTGGGTGCAGGGCCCAAGCACTTGGGCCATCCTCCACTGCCTTCCCAGGCCACAGCAGAGAGCTAGACTGGAAGAGGAGCAATCTGGATAGAATCCAGCGCTCCAACCGGGACCAGAACCCGGGGTGCCGGCGTCGCAGGTGGAGGATTAGCCAAGTGAGCTGTGGCGCCAGCTAGATATAATGATTTGAATACTTGTATATACTTTCCAACAGTAGTCTATACCATAATGCAGGATGGGAAGGTATAACATCTTAGATAGCTATCCTTTTATACTCTCCATTACTGTGTGTCAAAAACCAGCATGGCCCATGGCTACATTACTGCAAGTAAGGCACCCAGAAAAAGGGAGGTGATAATGATATTTACTTCTGCCTCTATTTATTCCCACATGCAAACGTGTATCCTCAGTTCCTTTCTCCTGGAATCATGTTAGTTCTCATTATGTTCTGTCATATAGAGCAGAAGCCAAAAGAGTTTTTCTTCAAGAGCTGAGTGGTAAATATACTATTGTTATGGTAGGACACAATTAGCCATAAACAATATGCAAATGAATAAACCTGTGTTCTGATAAAACTTTAAAGAAATGGTAGGCTATATTTGGTCTGCAGGCCTTATTTTGCTGATCTCTGATATAAAGGGAAAAATGGATTTAAACTTAGTGCATCTAAAAGGCAGAAGCTGGATCCATGTGTAAAAGTCAGGGGTAGGTAGATTTGTGCAAGTTTTAAGAAAGATTTGGATTATGGCGATTATGTTCAAATACTGTTTCAAGAGACAGTAGCTTTCTTGTCATTGTAAGAACCAAATGGAAGCTTAGTGTTGTAGAGTAATTTTCCGCAGAGCATGGAGAGTAAGTCAGATGAGGTGGGAAGTGTCAATGCCTCCTACTTACGTCTACCCAGCAGAGTGTTGCACACGTACCTAGTTGCCTAGATTTTATGTTCCTAGGCTGTATCATATTTATTCTGGCTCACCATTTACTCTCCAAAGCTTAGCATAGTGCTTTACATAAAGTGAGTAAGATCAATACTGTTTTTTTTTTTTTTGTCAACTTGACTCTAAAGAATATCTTGCTGACAGATTAATTCTACTAATTTGTCTTTTGTACAGTCATCACTACTAGTCATATTAAATTGATTCAATTATCTCTAATAAGCTTCAACAGTTGAAGGTTTTCACTGAAAATAATAGCCAACATTTACCAAGTTCTGAAAATATGCCATCTACTGTGAAATAACTGTGTATGCATTATTTAATTCTCCCACAAAATATCTTTGATGCAGGTACTATTATTATATTCATTTTATTGGTGAAGAAACTAATTCAAAGATGTCTTATAGCTGGGAAGACGCATAACCAAAACTTGAAATGAGATCTCTTTGAAGCCAAATGCTCTGTTCCACCACAGTTGCATCTTGCTTCACATTCATCCTTCCTTCCTTCATTATTCAGAAAACACTGATTGGTTTCCTGATAGTTATCAAGAACTACTGTGGGTGCTGGGGACAGAATCAGGTGAAGTCCATGATATAAAGCAACTTACAGTCTGGGTGAGACAGTGTGTTTGATACACAATCAACAAATGAGAAGGCAATAAATGGAAACTCACCACAAGACAAAGAGATGCAAAGAATCATAAATATTTCTTGCCTACACTACAACTTCAGCTATCATCCTAACTAATGTATTTTCAAAGCTCTTTCTTGCTTACAGATTCTAGCCCATGTATAGTCTTTAGTTTTGACAAATTGTCAAATATGCTCAGAAATAAGCTTCAAACATTCTGGCAACTAACGTAGATCAAATGGGACCAATTTGTAGACATGCACCTGAAGCCCTTGAAAGGAAAAGAACAAATGCATGCTATAAAGCACATGGGAATCACTTTCTTTTTTTTTTTTTTTTTCTTTTTTTGACAGGCAGAGTGGACAGTGAGAGAGAGAGACAGACAGAAAGGTCTTCCTTTTGCCGTTGATTCACTCTCCAATGGCCGCCACTGCTGGCGCGCTGCGGCTGGCACACCACGCTGATCTGATGGCAGGAGCCAGGTGCTTCTCCTGGTCTCCCATGGGGTGCAGGGCCCAAGTACTCCACTGCACTCCTGGGCCACAGCAGAGAGCTGGCCTGGAAGAGGGGCAACTGGGACAGAATCCGGCGCCCCGACCGGGACTAGAACCTGGTGTGCCGGTGCCGCAAGGTGGAGGATTAGCCTATTGAGCCACGGCACCGGCCATGGGAATCACTTTCTAGACAGGATGGATCTGAGCACCAGTAAGCTGGGGGACTTGAGGAAACAGAAAGGAAGGGGTTGGGGTAGGGAGTCAGTTTAGTTACTACAAAAATAAAAGACTAAAAATCAACTCTTGGTTATATTCCATTTTCCCTTTGCCTGAAATACAGACATAGGAAGGTCTAAATTCTATCCCCCTGCCACAGCTATCAGAAGTGAATATACATTACAACTGCTATAGTATTAAGAGTGCCTGATCTTTTTTTTTTTTTTAAAGATTTATTTATTTATTTGAAAGTCAGAGTTACACAGAGAGGAGAGGCAGAGA